GCCCCGGCCTCAAAGCGATATCCGCCATGCGACTGTCCGGGAAGCGGTAACGTAGCTCAGCACAGTACAGTACAATGTAATGTAGCTTTGTAACATATAGCATGCTAGCATACAACATAATACAACACAACGCAATATAATGCAATACAATACATAAAAATGTATAAAGAAACATACTATAATATAACATACCAAAATGACGAACTACAAAAGACAGTGAAGTATAATAAAATATGCAACCAGTCATTATACTATACTGTAATAAGCTGTCGTCTGATGTGATATAACGCAATGAAATATAAGGTTATAAAACAGAATGGACATATAATATAATATCACGTAATATCATATAATAGAACAGAACATAATATAATATTATGTCAAAAATAATGGAAGATTGTAGGTTATAATATGGAACCATATAACATACTATCAAGTAATATAATGTAACAGAATGTGAAACAATGTAACGAAAAATAAGATCATACAACGGAACATACATACAGTATAACATAATGCTTTATACTATCATGTAGTTATAAAAAATATAAGAGAAATGCAATATAATAGATAACAGAATAATGCCATATTACAAAATATAATATAGTATAGTCAGTACAGTGTAGCACAGTACATGCAGACAGTACAGTACCTATCATACTACATAGCAATGTATATGATACAGTAGACTCTATAGTGCAGCATACAGGAAACAGGAGCAAGCATGCCTTATCGAACCCTTATAGCAACCCGTGTGGGGGTCCGTACAGTAATCCTTGTTCGTATACCATTACGCTATCCCTTCTTCGAGGCGGTGGGCACCTGAGGCGGCGTGTTACTTTCCTGGTTTTGTTGCGTGTTCGAGACATGTCGGATGATTCCATGAGATTTGAGCGATACGAAAAATAACATGTCGGGTGATGCCATGAGACTGGGGTGACCACAGAATGATTTTTGATGTGGCGCACAGTCAGAACCGTTCATGCCTTGTGCGAGTGTGCTCAAACCGAAAGTATTTACAGCACTTGGTCACTTCACACAACATATACAACCAAACGCAGGAGGATGCTTGACATTTCTGGCATAAGACGCACTGTCACAAGCGTTCATGCCTCGGGATAGCATGCCCAAGACACTGGTATTTACAGCATTTCGCTGTGTGGACAAAAAAGTGCACAACGATATGGTGATGATGATGATGGTGGTGGTGGTGATGATGGTGATGATGGTGATGATGGTGATGGTGGTGGTGATGGTGGTGGTGATGATGGTGATGATGGT